CTGCACGGGCCTGTCCTGGCAGCTGCACCTCCGGAGACAGGGCCTGAGATGAACAGGGAGAGGCTTCAGAAAAACAGCTGCCAAACCCTCCCTTCCCAGCACTCTGGACTCTGACCCTGAGGGGTGAGACGCAGGCTTGAGCAGACCGGCAGGTGTAGGCAGTGGTGCGCTGTGGCAGCTGAAACTGGCTCAAGAAAACCCATTGCTCAATTTTCAGGAATCTTTCAAACCCTGAAAAATAGGAATTGTTGTTAAATAAGCTAGTGTTAAAATGAAGGCCAGCCAGTGACATGAGTTACGGCAACTGGATCCCACATGGCCGATCGTGTGCTTCGGCTTCCAAACCTGGCAGCTTGAAAAACATGCTAGGCGTGCATGTTCACGTGCTCAAAATACCGAGAGGAGAATGGAGAAGAGATCGCAGAGTGGCCATCCCTCCGGCAGGTGCTTTCTCACTTTCTCTCTCTCCCTGTCTCTCTCTCTCTCGCTGGCAAGTGTACAAGCCCCCAGCAAGATTTTTTAAAAATAATAAATTATATAAAGTTATCACTCAATAAATCGTATTAAAAGCAAAGGTAATACTTACTCTAGTTGTTTTTACTACTAATCGTTTACTCCTTCATTGCCCGTTTGGCCACTCCCTGCATTTGACGTCATCCCATCTGTGCCCTCGAGGTTGCTCGTGGCCGCTGCACACGTGGTGGAAACACTATGTCAGGTGTGCTGTGGCGTGTCCCCTTCTGAATGGAAGGGAATTCAGGGGCACCCTGGAGATAGCTCCTAGTCAGACAGCAGGCGTATTTACCCCACAGATGTGGGTGAGTATCACAGATCTGAGTCTTTTCCTTCCAGAGAGCTGGTTGGTAAACAGTTACCGGCACACCACTGATGTGCACTCTGTCATACAGGGATTCTGGGGACGGGGACGTGACCCGTTTTGTGGGACAACCCCTCTGATAATGGCCAGCGTGGAATGCACCGATTTTCTGAGGCGTGCCCAGCTCAGTGGCAGATAGGGGCAAAGGCTCTTGCCCCGGCTCCTGGTGAGACCCGCTGGGCAGGAACTGTAGCAGCAGCAGTCGGGGCAGGTTCAGTGTGTGCACAGAGAGCCCAAGAGGTGAGGTGTGAGGAAGGCAGAGAGCAGGGGACAGAGGCCACCCAGACCCGGCCTACAAGCAGAAGTCACAGACTCTCCTCGAGGCCAGTCTCGTCCCTTTAAGAGCTGTACAATCCCAGCAACTCTGAACCAAGCGCTCCTGCCCCCTGCAGGAGGGCACCCAGGCCAGGCACAGGCATGCACTGGCTGGCAAGGCGTCTGGGAGCTGTGTCCATGGGCAGCCAGGGGCTTGTGGCATGCCCTGGTCATCTAATCTGAAGACAAATATTGTCCTTGATGGTCTCCCTTCTTGGAGCCTCAAAGTAGGCCTTGAACACAGCAGGGATGTGACTAACAAAAACAGCTAACAGTGACCAAGTGCCAGGTTTCAGCAGGTGAACCGATTGTCCTTTAACTCGCACATCTTGCTTACCCCCGTTTAACAGGTAAGTGGTGAGGCATAGAGGGGTAAATAATTTGCCCAAGGTAAGTAAGTGATGGAGCCAGGATTCAAACCCAGGGAAGCTGACTCCAGATTCCTTCTTAATGCCTCCTCCTCTTCCTCCCTGCTGACTGCGGGAGGCAGGGTGAAAGGCTGTATGAGGATTAGGGTAGATGTTGGGGTGAGCCTTGGTGTTAAAGTCACAAAGACCTGGCTCGACAACACACTGGCTAAATGCCCATCATTCCTCAACTGGCGTGAAGATTTTTTTTAAAAAGAGATGATCCAGCCAGTGGTGTGGTGGTTAGGGAGGTTGGATTCCACAGGTTCGAGTCTCAAAGCCGGTGCCTTGGAAAAACAGGCCAAGTGCATGTGTGCACATGACCACAATCTTGAGAGGAAAATGGAAGAAAAGGGATTGCATCGTGGCCATCTTCCCTGGGGGCGCTTTCTCACTTCCACTTTCTACCTGTGTCCCTCTCCCCGTGAGTGCACACAACCTAGCAAACTTTTTTAAATTGGAAAGGGCACATAGTTGGTGCTTACACATGGGGCTCACAGTGTTACTACGGGCATCAGGGACCTGGTTCCAGCCCAGCTGTCCCTCACCAGCATGGGGTGCAGGCTCATCGCCCCAGATCAGTGACCACATCTGGGACAGCGAGGGCTACCTAAAGATCCCTGAGGTCTTTACCAGAGGGAGTATTCTCTGTCTCTATGAATAAAACTAATTGGGGGCGGGGGTATCTGAGTGTTAGAAGAGACTGGCTGTGCTTTAAAATCCTGTGATTAATGTTTGAAAAGATGCACACAAATAATAATTATGCAAGAGTGGTGGAGAATCTTGGATTCTTTCATTAAGTTAACAAAATCGCCAAGGAGGTAGTGTTTAGAAACATAAACCATCCAACCCACTCCTCGTGATGGGAATCTTTAAGGACATCACAGCCCTCCAAGACAGGCCCAGATGAGAAGGCGACAGATATACAGGCTCAGCTGCTCAGACTAGCCCAGTGCAGGCTCGAAGCCTTGCTTCTGACTCACTCGTTAGCACCACTTCAAAATCCATCACAGGACAGAGAGCTCCAGGGAATGGCAGGCGAGTGGTGTGGACAGAGGAGCATCCTGGGATTGCTTCTGAAATGCGCACCTTCAGAGGAGTGGGGTGACCATGGGGGAGGGTTTGCAGGAGCATTAGACCTTGCCTCCCCAGACAGGAAATGGTCAAGGAGTCAGACAACAAAGAGGCTCGGAGAGGAGTCATGGGAAGCCTAAGCAAAAAGTACCAACGTATAAAACCAGGCCTCATGATAAACACCAGCACGTGCTGTTTATCAGTCTTCATCTAGGCTGCCGAGATGGAATCGAGGGGCCAGGTGGTGACACCGTGGTAACACAGCTGGACCTGAATGGGGAAGGTCCTGGGTTCATATCCTGGGAGCTCCCTGAGCACCCCAGGCATGTATGTGTGCCTGTGATCCAGGCCACCTGGGACTGAGGGTAGATCGTGGTGGGAAGACCCTACTGGGGAAGCTGTCTCTCTGCCTCTGTCTCTCTCATGAAGTAACTAAATAAATAACCTTTTTATTTTAAAGAAGTGGCCATGAGCTACTACTGTGTGCTCACACTAGACTGGGAGCCCCTTGAGGACATCCCCACTGTGTGTCTTTGTCTCCCTAGCACCGTAACATGACACTTGGCACATCCAAGCCTCACCAGGGCCTTCGCATGTCCAATGCCTAAATGAATGACTCAGGCAAATCCTAAGTCACATTTTCTTTTTAAAAAATTATTTATTGCAGGGACCAGCAGTTAGCGTAATGGCTATGTCACTGGACTCCCATGTAGTCGACTGCAGTTCACGTCCCGGACCTGGTGGCTTAAAACTCACGCCGGGCGCGTGTGCGTGCGTGCCGAAGATCCCGAGAGGAGAATGGAGGAGAAGGGATTGCGGGGTGGCCATCCCCCCTGGGGGGTGATTTCTCGCTTTCTGTCTCTCTGTCTCTCTCTGTCTGGCAAGCGCATGCGCCCTATAGCAAAAACCTCTCAAAAATATTTATTGCATTTAATTTGTTGTTATTATTTATTTTGCAGTTTTAGCAGAGAGACAGAGAGAGAAAAAAAAAAAAAAGAAAGAAAGTGAGAAACTGAACAGCCCGATCTGGGACTCAGCCATGTGGGAGTCCAGTGCCTTAACCACCATGCCACCTGCTGGCCCCTTAAGTCTCATTTTCTTACACAACTGCCTGGGCTTCAGGAAACCAACATGACCTGGTAAACCAGCTTTGTCTGGTGGGAACCCAAGTAGCTTTTGACTCCTCCAGGGCCAGGAGCAAGTTCTGTCCACAAACAGGCTGAATTAACACGGGAGCCCCACCCCCTGCTTCTGCTTACACAGTCCCCAGGAACGGGTTCAGTGCTACAGCCCCTCAATGTCTTGCTTATCCTACTAAACAACAATGCAAACTTCAGACAAAATAGACTTTTCTTCCCATCACAGTCTGCTCAGTTGCAGAAGAGACATGTTTTTCATTTGCTCCTGTGCATTTGGACAGCATGTGTACAGAACTCTCCCAGCATTCATTTCATTGGTTCATTCTTAACACAGATTTTCTCCTACCTGGCAGCAGCATCTCAGATGTGGTCCCTGCCCTGGATGACCGTGCCAACTGGCAGAGGGAGAAGACACTCACACCCCAGAAGAGGGGTTGGGACTGGAAATACCAGTGGCTTTAGGAGAAAGAGCCAGAGAACGGGTGGGAACAGCCTGACTTGCATCTCAGATATTCAGTGTCTGACAACCTTCAGAGACAGGAAAGGTAGGTGTGTCCCTACACTGGAAAATAAATGAAAGCAAGTCGGCTCTCAGGACTGGAGCTGGGAGCTTTCCAACACAACACCTTGTAAGGAAAAAGTGACATCCTTGGGAGGACCCCACCGGAAGCTGGGCGACTTGCTCATACTGCATACCGGCCAGCCAGCCTTGCCAGAGTCTTCCCAGAGGCGCACAGCCCGTCCCCTTTCCTCCTGGAACTAATTTTTTGAGTCCTGGATGCAAGCTCGGTGTTGGGGGTCTACTCTTTTCTCTGTGCCCTCCACGCTGCCTGTTGGGCGTTTCCAAGCTGCAAACCCCACGATGTGGCTGTCTCTATCTAGCCCCATCCACAAAAGGTTTGGTTATCCGAGCTGGTTGCACCTGCTGCCTGGGATGGACTCCCTACCCGGGGAGTCTGGAGAGCCCCCTACCGGCGCTCTCCTGCTCTGAGAGTGCACGACCCTCCTCCTCCCCACTGAAGGCCGCCACCCACCGGGTGAAAACTTAGGGCTGTCGGGGTTCCCTTTATCCCAAAGGCGCGAGTATGGAGTTTTAACAACCCAGAAGGGTTGTTTGGGAAGGAAAGAGAAGTCCGAGGGGGGCTCTGAGCCCACGTTCGGCTGGGGCTCTGTGCGCGGCAGCCTTACCCGGGCATGAGACTGGGGGGAACGTAGGCGGCATTGAACTCGGTCAGCAGAGTGCCCGCGCTGCGAGAGGCCATGGTGGGTGCGGCTAGCGCGCGGCAAGCGGGGCGCTGGGTTCTGGCCAGGCCGTAAACAGTCCACGGGTCACCCGGCAACAGCGTACCTGGCAACGGGATTCTGGTGCTGGCGATATACTCGCGTTCCAGGCTCTGCGCTCTCGTCCTCACCTGGAGCAGCTCCAACAGCTGGGCCCAAAAGACACCTCTCCATCTGCGGGAGCGCTGCCCTGTGACCCCCGTAGATCTCGCTCACCGTCCAGCCCCAGCTTTTCAATCCTTGCATGGGCTCAGCCCTCCGCTGTACTGCCTGCAGGGGTGCCGAGGCACCGCAGGGGCGCAGGATACTGGGTAGAGAGGCCGGCTGAGTCTTTCCTAGGTATCCTTTGTCAGCAGCAGCCCTCAAGGTGACAGCTTGGAAGCGCGCGGCAAGCGGGGCGCTGGGTTCTGGCCAGGCCGTAAACAGTCCACGGGTCACCCGGCAACAGCGTACCTGGCAACGGGATTCTGGTGCTGGCGATATACTCGCGTTCCAGGCTCTGCGCTCTCGTCCTCACCTGGAGCAGCTCCAACAGCTGGGCCCAAAAGACACCTCTCCATCTGCGGGAGCGCTGCCCTGTGACCCCCGTAGATCTCGCTCACCGTCCAGCCCCAGCTTTTCAATCCTTGCATGGGCTCAGCCCTCCGCTGTACTGCCTGCAGGGGTGCCGAGGCACCGCAGGGGCGCAGGATACTGGGTAGAGAGGCCGGCTGAGTCTTTCCTAGGTATCCTTTGTCAGCAGCAGCCCTCAAGGTGACAGCTTGGAAGCCCTGGCGGGAACTGACAGCCCGGACCCTGGCTCTGGAGGCCATGCAGAAAGCAGCTGTGCCCAGGGCAGCTCGGGCCCAGGAACCCAGCGGCCATCTGGTACTCAAGAGCCACGTCTCCCCAAGGCTGCCAGTCCTTCCCGTTCCATGGGGGCTCCAGGAAGCGGCTTCGGAGTGGGCTCGGTTTGGACGCCCTGTAATTTAAATGCGTGTGCATGGGCACGAGGGGCATTTTCCTCCCACTCTCTCCCTGAGAACTGCCCTCTCACCTTGTCTCTCCAACTACTCCACAGAGAAGTTTTATCAGTAAGGGGCAAGAAACCAATCATGAAAACCTGGGGGTGAGGTCTACATCTGTCCCCAATTCCAGAGTTCACTCAGGCCCTGCAACCCAGAGGGCTGACCTGCGTCCCAGAGAACAGAGAACAAACCTCCCAAGCCTGAGGAGGTGTGCTGCACAGGAGTCCCTCCCTCCGTATAACTTCTATAACTTCACTGCCACAGCCCAGGTTCCCCAGGGACTGTCACCGCAGCCCTGAGGGCAGCATGGGCAGGGCCAGGGCCTTTCATGCTTAATGGCGGGTGGGGGAGGGAGGACGTGAGGAAGGTGTGCACCTCCCAGGCTCCCTTTGGTGGCATTAAGCATGGCTGCAAATGACGTAAAGATTACGTTACTGGACTCCCATGTAGTCGACCGCAGTTCCAGTCCCGAGGGGTGGCTTAAAATTAATGCTGGACATATGTACGTGCCCAAGGTCCCTAGAGGAGAATAGAGAAAGGTCGCTTTCTGTCTCTCTGTCTCTGTCCAGCAATCGCATGCATCTAATAGCAAAAATCTCTCTTAAAAAAAAAAAATAATGACTGCAGTTGGGACCAGCAGGTAGGGTGGTGGCTAAGGCATGGGCCTGGGGGCTTGCTTTCTCACTTTTCCTCTCTCTCTGTCTCTCTCTGGTCAAATTTTAAAATAATAATAATAATAAAGGGGGCCAGCAGGTGGTGTAATAGTTAAGGCACTGAACTCCCATTGGTTAACCGCTGTTCGAATCCCAGACCTGGCAGCTTGAAACACACTAGGCGTGTGTGCAGGCATGCCCAAAAACCCAAGAGAAGAATGGAAGAGAAGGGATTACAGCATGGCCATCCCCTCTGAGGGGTGATTTCTCAATGTCTGTCTCTCTGGCAAGTGTACATGCCCTATAGCAAAAACATCTCTAAAAAATGTGTAATAATAATAGTAATACATTAAATTACTAATTCTTAAAAAAAAAAAAAGAATGACTGCAGTTGATCACCGCTCTCAAAGCCTCCTTTCCTCCCCACAGGTGTCAGCGGGAGAGACTGTCATTTCACTTTGACTCTGTAAGTGGAAGCTGATGGGAACCACAGGTGCTAAGGAGTTCACAGAACACTGCTGCATCTGGATTCTCCAAAAATTTTTATCCCACAGGTAACAGGGAAACTGGTGAGCCACAGGTTTCCAAGCCACATAAGACGCAGAAAACATGAGCCTGGTGTGGACAAGAAGCTGCAGGTAAAGGAGGGTTTGCAAACTCAGTGGAAGGACTCTCCACCCACCCTCCGGGACCCAGTGACATCTGTATTTGTCTACATCTCCTGTGGAAATTGTGCTATGATAGAACATCCCTAAGTGCTAAAGGTGTTAAAAGAGCAGCCCTCGGTTCGGGTGCACACACTCCAGGAAGGCGTTTGTGATCCCCAGCCCAGGAAGAGCCTGAGCCTCCATGCCCTCCCCCCATCCACGGCTTCCCGGCTGGCCCGGCTCCTGAACCCTTTGCCCTTTGTTCTACTCGTCAGTATCCCAGCCCATCTCTCTCTCTTGCTCAGGGCCTAGTACTGTGCCTGGCTCAGGTTTCAGAAAGGTCAGCAGACATGGAAACTGAGGTTCAACCAGGCTCACTGTCTGGCCTAGGGCAGGTTCATGGGCTTTTCCTAAAGATGCATAGGGCTGAAAGAGGCCTCCTAAAATTCACCATCTACAGGAGAGAGCCTCCAGAGAGACTTGGGAGGAGAGGGGTTGTTTTTCTATCCAGTGACACCAAGATTTTATATATATGTGTGTGTGTGTGTGTATAAGCATGGGAGTTTTTTGCTATAGGGTGCCTGCGCTTGCCAGAGAGACAAAAAGCAAGAAATCACCCCCTGGGGGTACAACCATGCTGAAATCCCTTCTCCTCTATTCTTCTCTTGGGATTTTGGGCCCACACACACACATGTGCCTCACATGTTCTAAGTTACTGGGTCTAGGATTTGAACCATGGGAGTCCAGCGATGTAACCATTATGCCATCTGCTGGTCCCACCACCAAGTCTCACAAACACAATCACCTGAGGTCCTCATGAATAGAAAATGCTAGTGAATTTAGTTTTCAAAAAGAAACATTCAACTTATCTCGTCTTTTACGTATTTAGGCTTTCACTCACATTCAATAAATAACAATATCCTAAAATACTCTTTAATTCAATATGCTTAGATAAATGTGAGGAAGGCAAGCAGGAATTGGGGAAGGAAAAGGGGCCAATGAAGAAATATAAATAGAGAACAATAGGGCAGAGTAGCAAGGAACCACGCAGGAGAGAAGGCTCCAGGGTACCCTGCAGGTTTCTCAGACTATAGCATTCGAAAGGAGTAACCTCTTAGTTACCGCGCTGTGAAAATTCAATATGTCTTTTTAAGCCTTTAGATTCTGTCTCAGGCAGGTCCCCAAGCTCACCCTTTTATTCTGTCACATTGTTGGGTATCGTCTGATGTACGAGATGCCATGTGAGGTCTGGAGTGCAAAGATGCTATGTCTCCAGGGTCTCTCAGGGTTAGTAGGGGAAGAGACCATCAGAACAGCCCCAGGATACTAGGTGATGAGAGTGGCAGGAGCTGCACAGGGCAGCACCCTAACCCAGCTTGGGTATGGGTGCAGAGGCACCTCCCAGAGTGGGCACCCATTAAATTAAACTCAGGAAGGCAGGTATGTGTGTGTGTGTGCGGGGGAGGGGGAATGGTATTGCATCACGTGCCAATGAACGGCAAGAGAAGGGGTGCAGATGACCTTGCACAGGCTCCAGGTCCCCTTTTCCTGTGAGACCCTCCTGGGGTATATTGCTAGAAGGAAGGAGGGAGCAGTTCTCCTTTGATCCTTGGATTCCCTGGAAATTCTGCTACAGGCATCCCTTCTCACACTCCTAGCAAATAATGAGAGCAGAAGACCTCACAGTCCTGCTCATCTTTCTGGAAACCAAACAACCTGTCTGAGTCCCCAAGCCCTGGGATGGGGCTCAGTTGCTGCCTGAACCTCCCAGCACTGCCCTAGTAGAGCTTGCACTATCAGAAAACTGCAGTCATGCTTAACTTGGCCCTGAGCTTCCCTGCAATTCCAGTCCCTTAGGATGCAGAGTGTCAGGACTCAGTGACTGTGGAGGGCACAGCCTCCTGGGAGGCAAGTGGGCAAGTCCATTCCTTCTTATTGTAGGGTCCCTACTTCTGAGAGCCAGCACCCAGTATGCCTTTGATGTTGTCTGATGAATACGGATTTTCTAGCTGGGATGGGAGGTGGTGGTGGTGGTCTAGTTTGTTATGTCACAACAATCGAAATACCTGAAACTGAGTCCTTTATAAAGAACAGAGGTTTATTTAGCTCATGGCTTTGGAGAGTCTTGAAGTAGCTCAGGGCATCACATGGCAAGGGAACAAGCTTGAGTCTATGTCCCTGTCTTATTCTCTCTCCACATAAATCCACCAGGATCCAATCATGGGACCCCCCCCCCACGCCGATGACCTTCATCCTAATCACCTCCTAGAATTCTCACCTCTTAATCCTGTCACAATAGGAACCAAATCTCAACACACAAATTTTGGGGGGGGAGTAGCCATTCAAACTATAGTGGGGGTCCTGGGTTAAGACTGTCACATGGCAGAGTGTGACCCATCCAGAGCAGCCAGGGTACGCTGGTCCAGCTTCCCTAAGCTTCATGGGTACCAACAGCCCTGTGGCCAACCTGGCCATGCTGGAGGCAGCATGTACCACTCCCAAAGCACCAGCAGAACAGCCCGGCTTCCTGCGCATGCAGATCATGAAGTTCCTTCCCTGTGCAGGGAGTGGCCCCCGCCCCATGCCCACCCTGTCCAGGCTCACACCCAACTGTCAAGGGCAGAACTGCTAGCAGGACAGCACTGCTAAGGGGTAGGCAGGAGCCTTCCTGCTCCCAGAGCCCGGAGGAGACACCTGAAGCTGGTCAGGCCTTTATCTGGGAGCCGGCGGCTGCTGAATAATGAATTCCGACTGCACTCGCAGGCTACACGCTGGGTGCACAAAACACACACACACACACACACACACACACACACACACACACAGATACACACACACTGGGCTGACAACTTGGAGGGGTGGGGGCTGGCAGGGCTGTGAGGCTCCGTGAGTCGCTGGAAGGAGGGAGCAGTTCTGCTCGGTTGCCTTGGTCTCTGTGGGCAGCATCGGAGCAGGCGGGAGGAGGAGGCAGCAGAGAGGAGGAGGCGTGTGAGCCGCACTCCACAGCCAGCTCCTTCCCAGCTGCTCCCGCCTGGCAGTGCCCAGGCTCACCTCGCCAGCATGGCCCTGCTCGTCCACCTCAAGACAGTCTCGGAGCTGCGGGGCAGGGGTGACCGGATCGCCAAAGTGACTTTCCGAGGTAGGGAAACCCCTGTCTTGGAGTGACTCCAGCTGTGAGAGCTGAGCCAGGCATACTCTGAAGGCTGTCGGGTGTAGGGCAGGGCTGGGACGGGGCCTGGGAAAAGTTCTAGCAGGGCTGGGGCTTGAGGCTTGTCAGAGGTGGCCACCTGCCCCTGGCCTGACTGGCCATTGTGATTTCTGGAAAATCAGGGTCCCCTGTGTTCCTATGTCTGTCCTTCCTTTCAACCTCCAGTGTGCCAGTGCCCTGCAGGGCACGGAATCCTTTCTGCCTGGGGGGATAGTAACAAGGACCCCACCCCTGGGCCCAGCCCCCTGGAGCTTGCCTGGGCCTCCTCCTCCTCTCTGTCCCCTTCCCTGGGCACAGGATTATTTCCCTTGGGCATAGGATGGGGATAGGATTCTGGAGTCCAGAGACCCAGGGTGACTCCTGGAAACCAGGGCAGCCAGAAGTTCTCCGGACCCCCACCTGATGGGGATGTCATTGTCTTCTCTCGGGCCTATTCGTGGGCAGGGACCCTGCATGCCCCCGGCCTCTCCTCTGCAAACCTTTTGCTAGCCTTCTCCTCAGCCGTGCACTCAGTGACCGTTTATTATGATCTACTATGTGCTGACACCAGGCTGCAACATAAAATGGCACGGCCCAGGCCCCGGTCTGAGGATCTTGCCTCAGCTTGGGGCCAGTGGGCAGGGAAGGCTTCTAGGAGGCAGCAGCACTCACCTGAAAGCCAAAGGATCAGCAGGAGGAAGCAAGGTGAGGAGGCAAGGACCGAGCAGGCAGAAGGAGAGTGTGGCCAAGGCTGGGAGAGGGACTGGGAGACGAGCTGGGATTTGGGAGCCACAGAGACTCCATAAAGGTGAAGCCTAGAGACGGTGCAGGCTTGAGGCCAGAGAGCCAGGCAGGCTGGACTTCACCCTGAGAACAGTGGGAATTCCTAGGGGTTTCAAGTAGGGGAAGGCAGACCGGGGTTCACCACTGCCTTTACCCATCCACCTCTGCCTCTCTGCCTAGCCACAGCCCAACCCTGTGGGCCACAGGGGTCTTGGGCAGCCTCTGACTGCAGGCCAGGTATGCCTCAGTAGACATGGCCCCTTCGTAGAGAGTGTCTGAGAGACAGAATGGGCAGGAGCTGAGAGACCTCCACCATGCCAAAGGGCACAGTGCGCCTCGGGGCCCATGCCTCCGCCCGGTCAGAGACACGAGGCTATTGGCAGCCCTTCCCTAGAGTGCTCCAGCAAGAGCCCCGGGCACCCAGCTCAACCATCCAGAGGCCCTGGATGTCCGCACTGCAGCCTGGTGCTCCTAGGGGCAGGCAGGGGCAGGGAGCATGGCCGTGACTCTGCTGGCCAAAGGAGTCAGGCAGGAGGAAGAGGAAGGGTGGGCTAGGCCGCCTGTTGCTGCCCAGCGGCCCAGTGACTGCTTCCCCTGCAGTGCCCTGGATCTCTGCATGCCACCTGCTGGCTCGTGTTGGCTTTGGAAAAAGCAAGCGCGTCCTTTCATCTGTGAAATGCGGCCCTGTGTTCAACAGACAGTGCAGCGTTGGGCTGTTTAGCTGCGGGTTGCTGGGTTGTTGCAGAGATGACAGGACAGTCCAGGCTGCACGGGGCCAGTCCCATGTGCAAGCAGGGAAACCCAGGCCCGGGCGTGGTGAGACCTGCATGGCAGTGGTGGAGGAGCTGAGGCAGCTGGCCCAGCCGGCAAGGACTCACTCTGGTTGCTCAGTCCTGGTGGCCTTTTCTCTCCTCCTGGGTCACCTAGGGGTGAGCGCGGTGTCCATTCGATACCCATCTTTTTCTTTGAGCAGTGAGGCCAGTCCTCCAGCCTCCGCTGACCACTCGGGGATTAGCCTGTTTGCAACCTGTGTCCTCTGAACTGAATGGAGAAAAGTACTTTGAGCTGTGCATTTGCAGGAGGCAGCCACAACTGGCAGTGCTCTGGGGCAGGGTCAAGCAGCAAGATCAGGTGGGTGCAGGCAGGATCCCGGGGATAATCTTTACTACCGTCAGAGGTGCCTGGGCTCTTCACCTGCCGCATCCGACAGCTGACAGCTACAGTGGTCACCCCAACACTAGCTACTCAGAGTGAACCAGCCCGCTCTAGAATGTTCTACTGCCTCTCTGCACACACGAACACTGGTGTCCAAGCCAACACTCTTCAGGAAGAAGCGAGAAACTGGTGAATGGGCAGAGGCAGATACCGGCCCAAGCTCCCTAAGTCGCCTCAGTGAGGCTCTATGCCAGACCAGGGGAGGAAGCCCTCAGTGAGCTGTGCCATTGGCAGTGGCCCCAGGCGGGCCGGGGCAGCTGACTGAAGTGACAGGGGTCTTCTACAAGTTCTTGGAAAATGCATATGATGAAAAACTATGGAATTTAAACATGTTTTGTACAAGAGTTAACTCATACTTTAATTCCATTTTTTGATGAACTGCGTAAAGTCTGCTCGAGCAGTTTTATTTTACATGCTACGCCATCTGGGACACTTAAGAAAGAGCCCTACTAGGAGCCAGCAGGTAGTGTGGTGGTTAAGGTGCTAGACTCCCATATGACCAACTACGGTTCAAGTCCTGGGCTTGGCAGCTTGAAAATCATGCTGTGTGTGTGTGTGTGTGTGTGTGTGTGTGTGCCCAAAGTCCTAGGAGAATGGAGGAAAGGGATTGAGGTGTGGCTATCCCCCCAGGGGGTGATTTCTCACTTTCCCTCTCACTGTCTCTCTCTGTTTCTGTCTGGCAAGCACATGCACCCTATGGCAAAAACATCAAAAGAAAAAAAAAAAAACAGAAAAGAAAAGAAAAGGCCCTGCTAGGCTGTAGTGGAGAAAGTTCTGGATATGGAGTCAGAAGACCCAATCCTTTCGGGTCTGCCACTTCCTTCACCTCTGTAACCCTCAGTTTCCTCGTCTGTACGATGGCCTGGTAGTGACACCCACCTCACCAGGTTGCTTTAGTGAAACAAGAGGTATGAAAGAGTTTGAGGAAAGCATATTCAAATGGCCGATGTGTTTGTGAGGTGGCTATTCCGGGTCTCCTTAGCTGCAGCTGTTGGCTCCTGAGTCAGCGTCTCCTTAGCCCAGCCTCCTCCTGCTGAGTGGGCAGAGAGGGCGCCATGTAAGGTATAAAGGGGAGAGGAGGTTCCTGAACTGTGCCAGGAGCAGGCCAGTCGGGCCTGGCCTCTGCCATGTGGGAACCACTGGCTAAGATGTTCCAAAGGAGCGTTCCCAGGCAGACTGCCCCTGAGACCCCTGTTCCCATGTGGCTGGGCATGCACTAGCTCTGTTCCCACCACCCCCGGGGCAGCTGACCACCCTCTTGGGCTCTCAGTGCCCACTGTCTGTCCTATCTCTAACTCTTAGCTCTTACTGCCAACAGCCACTCCTAAGTCGGCCCTGCCCTCGTTCTTTCACTCACAAACATACTGATGCTTGTGGAAAGACGGGGATCCTGGGGCAAAGGAGAGCAGCCCCTGTCCTCCAGAGTCAGCTCTCCAGTGGGACAGGCAGCAGATACAGAGGCCTGGCCTCCAATCCCAGTCCCGCCTGCAGGCCATAAGGCCCCCATTTCCTTTAACCAGGGGGAAGCAAGTCCCCGTTCAGCTCAGAGCCTGTGGCTATCAGGAGTCATCAGCGTGGGCTGTCTGGAAAGGAGCGCCCTGACCGATGTCTGCTACGCTGAGTCCTAGGGCACGTCAGCTTCAGCTTTGTCCTCCCGCTCTCCTGCAGCAGTGCCCCTCGCTGATCACAGAGCCCGGGTGGGACGGGCCTCTGAGTTCTTCCATCCAACCATTGTCCAGCGCTCAGACACTGGCTGGCCTCTGGGTTGGGGGACCTGGGCTGTCAGAGGACCCAAGGGTAGGTGGCCTGAGACCAGCCCCGTTATCACTCCTCACTCTCCATCCCCTAAGCCTTCTTGACCGAATGCAAGGTTTGGGAGATTTTGCACGTAAGGCCAGTGATGTCTGAAGGCTGGAACTCACCTGCACTGCTCGCTGGGACCAGGGTTTGCTCTCTCAAAGTTTCCCTCTCCATCCTCACTCCTCCTCTTCCCTTCCTACCTCAACTCGCATCCCGCCATGCTCCCTCTACCCTGTACTTTCTGCCTTTCCCCAAAGAGGCCACACCCTTTCAGCACTCCAAGCCTTGAAACCTCATGTTTCTTCTGCCTGGAATGACCTCCACTCTCCACCTGAAAAAGTCTCATCAATTCTGCTCATCCTTCAAGGCCCAGCTCATATGCCACCTCCTCCATGAAGCCTTCCCCTTCCTTTGCAGTAACTGTACATACTGGTTCTACAGCTCTGCTATGATATTGTACTTTAGAAACCGGCCACCACCTGTCTGCTACACTAACTTCTGAGCACCTCCAAGACACAGGCCAGACCTTAGCTGCCTGAACCAAGCCCCTACACGCGGCACTCAGTCTGGTCATCAGGATGAATCAGAGATGGTTTCTGTCTTTGGGTTGCTCACTGTTCAGTGGGTTGAAAGCTCTCCCACGATGGCACCGCCACTCTTTGGCTCAGTTTCCCTAAGGGTGAACTCTCACCCCAGAATTTTCTATCCAAGGGTCTGAAAGAGGCCTCAGGAGCCTAGAGCCAAGGACCCTGGCTCATACTCTCTTACAAGCCTCCCAGCCTGGAGGGTCTTTTGGGGCCCAGCAGGAGACAAACCCACCCTCTAGCAAATGGCAGGGAGGCCAGTTCTGGCCCACAGCTGGGAGGCAAGAGGGGCTATTCCTGGGCTTGCCGTCACTGAGCATGCTCTTTCTGAGCCTCGCTGTGACAGCACACGGCATGGGCAGGGGACAAGCCAGGGTCTCACACTCATGGGGGAGGAGAATTGTGAGGCATGATGGAGACACAGTGCAGGTCATAGGACGGCTGAGGGGTGCCAGGGCGGGGGGCCTGGGGGTGGGGGGTGAGTGCAGCAGTGTTCGAAGGACGACAGCTAACTTAGAGCCAGGGAGGTGAGGGAAGAGGAGCGTGCCAGAAGGACAGAGCCCTTTGGCT